GTCTTTTTTAAAAAGCCAATTGGGTTATTAAATAAAATTAATAAGCTGTTAAATAAAATTAATTCAATTTTTAACCCATTCGGAGCAAATTTAACACATGCACCTTTGCTGGCTGAACAACGACAAGAAAGGCCATTCCTTGATCAAAGGAGACAATTCCACAATGGGCTTCTCCACTTTGAGCTTTACATCATGTAGTCACTGGGCTTTAAATCAAATCCCTCTGTGTCCAATCTGATGCAAATTGCAGTGTAAATGACCAAAGTGGTTACCCCCTGTGCCAGCTTGGAAGCTTCACAGTGCTCTTTGACACTTTCAGTAGATTTCTACATGATCAGAATCTGAAATGAGGACACTAAAGGCAGTGGGGAGGCTTACTCCCAGCTTTTTTGAATTGTGGTCTTTAGAAAGCAGAAAGAGACACTCTGTAGAGGAAGGTCTCTTTCCATATAGCCCTTCAGATGTAGAAATTCATAAAGCCATATTTACAGAGCTGCCAGTGACACAGGATTCTGCACCTAATCTCCAGTTGCATCATAACTACAGGGTCTGTAGCTAAGTAAAGTCTATCTAAACTATATTCTTTTGTCCAGGTTGTGCAAATGTATAGGCACAGTTTTGTTAAAAAAATATATTTAAATAAGTTTTTTTCAAGGTGGGATTATCTTTCCACAGGCAAGGGTAGGAAGGCTGCACCAAAAATATTTAGAAACAGGAGCATGTAGGCAAAGAAGCAAGGATTCTAGGCCATGAAAAAAGACTGGGCAATGTTACTTTGGGTTCTGGATGCCCCAAGAGGATCACCTAGAGCAGAGCTAAACAATCCTTGGGGCACACTGCCCCCCCCCCACTGAGTGCTGCACACAGATTTAACAACACGGCAGAACCTTCTCCTCCACAAGGCCATTTTAAAACAAGGTCCTATTGGGAATTTCCAGTAAAAGGTTTTTGTATTAGGAATTTTTTAAGCAGAGCACAAGGCGGGGGGAGGGGAAACACTCACTAGCCCTTCCTTACACAGAGATCTAATCCTTTCTATAGTAATAAAACCACTCCAGATCAGTCGTTCCCAGCCCTCAGTCCTCAGGTGTCATTGTACTTGTAAAACTCCCAGAAATCTTCACCAATAGCTTTGCTGACCAGGATTCTGGAAGCTGTAGTCCGAGAATGACTGGGTTATCCAAGGTTGGGAACCTTTGCTTTAAGTACAAAAAGCAAGTTTACTAACAATTATTATTAAGGTAGCTCTGCTCTAACTGTGCCTCCTGCAAATCTGGATAGCCACAGCAAAGCTGCTTTCACAAGCTGCAAATAAGGTTGAGTGTCAATTTCCTCCCCTCTTTCTGCTGTGTGGTCTGCTGAAGCTATTTAACCCAGGAAAACCTGACTTCCCAGGTGTGACTTCGCAGTGGATCCATTCACATTTTTTTCTGCCGTGTAGCTGCACTCTCAGTGTGCCACCCTCTCTCTCCGTGTAGTTGCACTCTCAGTGTGCCACCCTCTCTCTCTCTAAATTTTACTCTCCCTAGCTGCAGAGAACACAATCCTGAATTTGGAGGATAGCATACAGGGAGGTAAAGGTTAACTCTCTCCCCATGCCATTTCTCCCCTTGAGAACACATAGGTATGTAAGATTTCTGTATGCAAAGAACATATGAGGCTGTGGCTGTGATGTTACCTTCCTATTTTTTTGGTCACTGCTTATGAGGCGATTATATGCTGACTTGTTCTATATGTGGCTGGTTGGCTATAGAAAGGCACGGAGAGACTAGCACACTGGCTGGGTTAATTAAGCATGCTTTCTTTAAATAAAGCCGAATTACTCAAACTGTCCTCTCTTTGGTGTTTTCAGACAAAGAAAGGGAAGTCTTATCTTTCCCAAAGGGATGTCAGTGTCATTCTGCTGAATGGACAATGCCTAGAGGTGAAGTGTGATATCAAATCTAAGGCACGAGATATCTTCAATACAGTTGTGATATACGCGAATATAGTGGAACATTCCTACTTTGGCTTAGCCTACATGAGAGGTATTGATTCTTCCCTTCTTATTGCACTGGATAAGCATCATGTCAGCTTCTGTTATATAGAGAAGCAGCAAAGAACATTTTCAGGCTGAAGATGAGCATGCCAAAATTTATTTTATTTTATTTTTATCCCAACTTTCTCCTCTAAGGGGACCCCAAGGTGACGTACAAAATCCACAATAGATTAAAAACAAAGCAATTACAATTCAAAATTATAATAGACAAATATTTATAAATATTCTGAAATTCTAAATCTGATTTTAAAAGACCTCCCCCATGTCAATTGCCTGCTAACTCCCGAAAACTGTCTCTAGAGAGATGCTTTTGGTTTCCTTGGTGTCTGATATTGGTGCTCAAGCTTAAATCTTTTTTTCTCCTCAAAAGAATCACAAGTGCTGCTGCACCTGAAACACACCCACACCCACCCACACACCCACACCCACACACACACACACACACCACACACACACACACACACACACACACACAACCCAGCACTTAGTTGACACCCATGAAAAAACATTACCGCATCAACTTTTCTCCACACCATAATTAGGATCCCTGTAGTACCAATCACCACAAAGGAATTGACAGAGCGCCCAGCTCTTGAAGGGTCAGAAAAAGGAGAAGAACAACAGCCATCTATGAATTAAACAAGGCAACCACCGATGCCACTGCCCTTTGCCAGCAACACTCCAAGCCATTCTAGACATGAACTGGAGAGCGGTCTGGGATGGGATCCAGGGACTGCAGAGTGAAATGCCCCCCCCCCATTCATTAACTGTTGCAGAGTTGTGTAGAACTCTTTCAACCCGCTGCTGCTTCTCTCCCTAATTTTAAAGCTGGGCATTTGGCTTATGCACTAGCATTCATTCACTAATCCCACCCCGCCCGCCTCCCTTTGCCTGCATGCATTCACTGACAAAGAGTGTGAGGCTTCCCCAATGGGCCTAGATCCCGTGTCAGCCACTGCAAGGTAAAACAACAGACAAACAAAGAAAACCTTGTTTTGCTTTGGTGCCTGGTTTTGCTTCTCTGCTCAGATTCTGCACTCAGGGTGCGTAAGCAGGAACAAAGGAAACGCACATTTCTTGCATTTAAATGGTTAAAAAGGCGGAACAAAGGAAATGCACATTTCTTGCATTTAAATGGTTAAAAACAAAACAAAAACCTCAAAGTGGTGAAGTTATTGCCCACTTGCTTTTGTTAGCCTCTCTCTGCTTTCCATTCCCAGTTGGGCATGAGTTTGAATCACTGGACCCCCAACAGCTCCAGGCTGGGGCCGAGGTCTAGTTCTCAAAACTGATCTCGGACAGCGGATGCCCTTTAGGGAGGGCTGATGCAGGTTCCTGAGTCCAAGCACTTTGTCCCTCTGCCAGCACCATCTTTTTTTTTCATCAGGGTAGGTCCGGTGGCTCAGGACTCAGCTAGGCACCCATGCCATCATTGTAGGGCTGTGGATTGGGTCTTGACTAGTGTGCTTCCCCATATATGCTTTAGCTATGGGGAAGTGGAACCATTTTGCCCTCTATGGGTCCTGCAGCTGCTGGTTCTTGCCTACGGTGCAGAAGATGAGAGGGAGTTCATTGGAGGCCTCTTCCCAGTCCTCCCTTTCAGGTCTGTTGAGGGCAATGAGTCCCCGTCCTCTTCTTCCTTCTCCTGCTTCAAGTCCAGGTCCCAGCTACCCATTCAGGTCTCCACCCCTCCCTCCAGGTGTAACTCATCTTACTCTGGGGGTGGTAGAGTAGTGGGGATGTGTTCTGGTGCAGATGGGGCTGGGCCAGAGTTGGGGGGGGGGCTGTGCTGCTGCAGGGATCTTCCTGAGGCAGCAATCGAAGTGCGGACCAACGCCTTTGAGGCTTCTAGCTCTCGCCTGCCCAAGCCCACTGTTTCACCGGATCTCAGGCAGGGGTACCCCCCCCCACCCCACCCATTAAACTTTGTTTCTTAACTTGCATGAAATGTCAGGAACAGGGAGCCATTTGCAGTCACAGAAAAGAAATTAGATTTGAAATGTTTGTTTTAGCCTCCTTAAGAGGACTCCAAAATTCAATGTCTTTCAAATCATTGGGGGCAGCCTCAGCGATGGGGCATGTCCCATTTATCCAGATGGACCAGCGCTCCACCAATAAACTGTAGATCTGTTATGGTAATTCACATCTGCAGTGATAGAGCTACCTTTAACATTCACAGGCACTTAGATAGGCATTTGAAGTGTTCTGGCTTGACTGTACTTATTGTCTTAAATCTTTAAGTACCTAAACTTATTATGCATGCATTGATACTCATTGGACCGAGCTCAGATCTCACTACATTTTGTTTTTCAGTAGCAATACTTCAGGTGAATTAAAAGTCATACATAAGTTGTTATCCCCTTGCCCAGCTTCACCGGCATAGCAGGAGCAACATCAGCTGCTGAGGCAGATTACTGCTAACTAAAAACTCCTTTTTTAATTTCAGGATGTGCATGGCTCAGGAGCAATGGGGTAAAGTCACATGCTCCCCAAAATCTAAAAATGAACTCTTAATTTCAGGATGTGCATGGCTCAGGAGCAATGGGGTAAAGTCACATGCTCCCCAAAATCTAAAAATGAACTCTTTAGTTAGCAACCATCTGCTGATGATGTCATTATCACCACACCTGCTGAGTGCCACAGGAGAATATTGGTCACAGAAAACTATCTACTCCAGCTTTCTGTTCCCACAGCAGCCAACTAAATGCTTATGCAGATTCACAAGCAGGACATAAATGCAGCGCTGTCCAGCAACTGGTGTTCTGAGGCATACTGCCTCTGATCATGAAGGCAGTACATGGCTTTTATGATGAAAAATTAGATTTTTTTCCTCTCTGCCTCAGTGGGTGACAGGGTGTAATCAGATATGACCCAAGGCTGTTCACAGGTACAGTATATTAAAATGATTTATTTAAACCACAGCCAACAAACGGGCCTGTAAGATAAAGACACTGTACATAGGAATCAGAGGAAAATAATAAAATTTCAGAGAAACTGATACAATTAGTAAATGAAAAGTACAATGTAGAACAATTTGGATTAAAACATTTAAGGGACAGTGGTCAGAATTCTACTTGTCATTTATGCTTATAAAAGGCAAATTGTGTAAGTTGCAGAGGCAGATTGCTGCTCTTTAAAGATGTGCTGATTACATTCCTGGGATCAGGCACACACCAGAGCTTTATAAATGCAGTGGCTTAGGCTGTGGTTATGTTACTGGTCAGTTACACTAGCAATAATAAAGATGCAATCAGCACCTCGTTAGCCAGAGCTTTATTAATGCAGTGGCTTAGGCTGTGGTATGTTACTGGTCAGTTACACTAGCAATAAAGACTACATTGACGCATCATTTAAATTGATTCATATTTTATTGTTCACACAAAAGGGTGAAATTCATTTAGGCTGCAGTCACACTGGCAATAAGAACCTCATTGAAGCGTCATTTAAATCAATTAAGTTTTTATCAGCCACACGATGCAAGAGTGAAATTGATTTATATGGGCTGCAAAGAGAGTTTTTTTTAAATTGCCAGCAGGTTTTTTTTTAATACTTTGCTTTTAAAATCTATTCAATTTAGTGCATTTTTGTGGATCTGAATGCTGCTGCCATTTTAATTTGTGCCTATGTGGATTTTGGGTGGCAGGAGCACTTCTATTTTTCCTTTTATTTATTTTTAAAATTCTTCAAATGTTTATCACTGCATCACTTCATCAATATGCTTGGCATTCCAACCATCTACCCCATTTTCTCCATTTGGGAGCCAGCAGAGGAGCAAAAGACTAATGGGCAGAGCGGGTGCAGAGCGGGCATGCCTGGGCATGGAGGATAGTCTATGTACCAGAAGCATCACCCTGCAAAGGAGTTGTAAGCCTCCTCTGCCTCCCCCTTCCTCATTTTTCATTCCTAATTGGCTGAGGTCACCCCTCTGGTCATAGTTTCTAGTAGCTATTATGATACCAGGTAGCACCTCCTAGAAACTCGATTTATCAATGTATCACTTACTTTAAAAATGAAATAAAACAAAATCCTTTAAGAACAGCATGCTCCTAAAACAGAAAGGAAATGAGTCAATTTCAGCAGTGTAGACATCAAAATCAGTTTAAATCAATTTCCATTCAGTGCATGTGAATGTGGCCACCAGTTTTAAGTACCATGTGACTCGAACCTGATTTTTAAAACTGGTTAATAGAAATTGATAGAAATTGCCAGTGGCATGTGACTCGAACCTGATTTTTAAAACCAGTTAATAGAAATTGATAGAAATTGCCAGTGTGACCAGAGCCTTACATGATTTTAGGTAAAGTTAAAGGTTCCCCTTGACATTTAGTCCAGTCGTATCCGACTCTAGGGTGCGGTGCTCATCCCCGTTTCCAAGCCATAGAGCCAGCATTTGTCCGAAGACAGTTTCCGTGGTCACATGGCCAGTGCGACTGGACACGGAACGCTGTTACCTTCCCACCGAGGTGGTACCTATTTATCTACTCGCATTTACATGCTTTTGAACTGCTAGGTTGGCAGGAGCTGGGACAAGCGACGGGAGCTCACTCCGTTGCGTGGATTCGATCCTACGACTGCTGGTCTTCTGACCCTGCAACACAGAGGCTTCTGCAGTTTAACCCACAGCGCCACCACATATGTTGCAACATCCTTGTGTAAGGAATTATGTTCCTTACACAAATGTAAATTGCCACTGGGATTCTGGCCCTTGTCTCATCTTTGTTCCTTCTTCCTCTCCACTCTCCCCACTGTCCTTGGACGTTTGTCATGCAAATGACAGAGCCAAGTCTTCCCAGCCGCTTTGTGTCCTTTGATGTATGGTCCAGTTGACGGATGGTCAACTGGATGAGGAATTGTGGATTGGGGAGGCAAAGGAGAAGGCAGTTTTGCAGAAGAGTTCTCAGTTTCACTCATCCTCATATCCACTTTTTCTTCTTTAGGTAAAGAGTTTTACTTTCTGGATGATGACACCAAACTTTACAAAGTGGCTCCAGAAGGCTGGAATGATAAGCACAAAAAGAAAACATCTATTGTCAACTTCACTGTTTTTCTGCGAATAAAATTCTTTGTTGATGATTTCAGTGTGATCCAGTAAGTCTTGTGGCTGTCCTGACTGTCTACAAGGACTTTCTGCTTTCCTACTTGGAGAGTCATGTTCCTTTCCAATTCCTGGTTCTCTTGTTTTGCAGGCATGGCCTAACCAGACACCAGTTTTACCTGCAGCTTCGAAAAGATTTGCTGGATGAGCACTTGTCCTGCAACATTGAGACCGCTCTGCAGTTGGGAGCTTTAGCCTTACAAGCAGAACTGGGGAATTACGCTCCGGAGGTATTGTTTGGTGCATTGCTTGAAGCTCATTTCTGGGCCTGAGCTGAGCAGATATGGTGTACATGGTTACTTATTTTCATTATACTAAGCTGAATGTCATTGACAAAAAATAAACCCAGGGGGCAGCTGCCAGAAGAATCTCCTCTGATCTTAGTATAGCTGCAGTAAAATATTTCTTAAACAGAAGTCAAAAAGCTTTTGCTCCTGCGGCTTCCTCACCAGCCCACAAAATATGTATATGCCACTGCAGTCTTGCTTCAGTCCCCTTTCTTCTACAAATTCTCAGCACATTACTCCTGAAACCACAGTGCCCCACTGATAAAGATGCCTTTACCAAGGCTTGACAAGTTGCTTTTAAAAAGAATTGATATTACAGTGGGGTCTTGACTTGAGAACTTAATCCGTATTGGAAGGCGGTTCTCAAGTCAAAAAGTTCTCAGGTCAAATCTGCATTTCCCATAGGAATGCATTGAAAACCATTTGATCCGTATCTGCTCTGTCTATGAAGATCTCCAAAATGCCCTGTTCTCAACAGCCCTGCTCAGCTCTTGTAAACCGAATCCTGTGACTTCCTTTAGGGACTCAATTGATCTTGTATTTGGTCTTCCTCTTTTCCTGCTGCCTTCAACCTTTTCCAGCATTATTGTCTTTTCCAGAGAACCGAGTCTTCTCATGATGAGCTCAAAGTAGGAAAGCCTCAGTTTTATAATTTTTTATTTTAGAAATAGTTTAGGCTTGATTTGTAGTAGTATGCGCTTGTTCATCTTTCTGGTAGTCCAAGGTATCCACAAAGCTCTCCTCCAGCATCACATTTCAAACAATTTCATGTTTTTTCTTTCAGCTTTCTTTTCTGTCCAGCTTTCACACCCTTCCATGGTGATCAGGGATACAAGTGTGTGTGTGATACTGGTATTGATCTCCAGCGACGTGTCCTTACACTTGTCGATCTTTTGTAATTCCTTCATTGTTGCTTTGAAGTCTCAGCCTTATTCTAATTCAGGGGTCTCAAACATGTGGCCCAGGGGCCATTTGCAGCCCGCCAGACGATAGTTTGTGGGCCCCGCCTTTCGTGCCCCCCCAAGTGCCCACGCGTCCTCTGCTGTCAAGAGTCAAAAAAAGCCTCACCTCGCTCGCCGGCTCTCTCCCAAGACAGCGCCTCTTACACCATCCGGAACTGCAGACTGCCAGCCAGCCCGCCTGTCTGCCAGCTGCAGTTCCGGACGGAGGGTGCAAGAAGCGCTGTCTTGGGGGAGAGCCAGCGAGCGAGGCGTGCTGCCAGCCCTTTTCCCCGAGTGCCTGAGCCACCGCCGAGGGATTCATGAGAGTGGAGCTCACTCCCAGCCTGTCCTCGAAGAGTGCTTCCAACAGCGCCGCCAACAGCAGCAGCCGCCGCCACCTCTTCCAGGGAAGTGGCTCTCTGGCTCTCTTTCTCTCTCGGCACCCCCAGCACCAGCCCAGCCAGCGGCCACCTCAGTGCCCGGCAGTACTTCGTCGTCCTCCTCCTCTTCATCCTGCTTCAGCTGCTTTGGCTCTGGAGACTGCCTGGACTCACCTCACAAAGTTTGCTCCTCTGTCGTGGTGGGGATAGCTGCTGCTGAGTGCACCTTTTTTGAGGAGGGGCCGTCAGAGGAAGTTTGCCAGACCTGTGTGTGTGTTTTTGTGCCTGCGCAATTGTGGGGGGCCCAACTTCGTCGTCCTCCTCCTCTTCATCCTGCTTCAGCTGCTTTGGCTCTGGAGACTGCCTGGACTCACCTCACAAAGTTTGCTCCTCTGTCGTGGTGGGGATAGCTGCTGCTGAGTGCACCTTTTTTGAGGAGGGGCCGTCAGAGGAAGTTTGCCAGACCTGTGTGTGTGTTTTTGTGCCTGCGCAATTGTGGGGGGCCCACCCCATTCTGTTTAACTTCATGGTTACCGATGGGGGCTTTTCTCCTTTGGCAAGGCGATTCTGTAAGGATTTTTTAAAAAAAAATTATGTCATGCCCTCCCCCCCCGCTAGGCGGTCACTGGTGCTCCCTCCCTTCTCCGCTTCTTTGTCCTGCTGCTGGTGGTGGTGGTAGTGAAGAAGGAGCCAGAGGGGGGCCTCCTCCTCCTCGAAGCCCTAGCCAGGCTAAGGAAACTCCTGGGCTGCTTCCTTGGGCTCTTGCTTCACTTGGTGGAAAATCTGATGTGGCCCAGCCTCACCCAGACTCTGCCTCCAGCGGCCCCCAGGTAAATTGAGTTTGAGACCCCTTTGGATTGATGATTGAACCAAGGTATAGAAAATCTTTAACAATTTCAGTTTCCTCATTGTCAACATTAAACTTGTGCAGTTCTTCACTGGCCATGACTTTTGTCTTCTTAATGATCGGTTGCAGCCCCGCTTTGGCACTTCTTTCAATTTCATCAGAAGTCATTTCAAGTCATTAGTTCCTTCTGTCAGTAAGATGGTGTCATTTGCATATCTTACATTATTGATGTTTCTTCCACCAATTTTGACTCCTCCTTCATCTGATCTAGTCTGGCTTTCTGTATGATATTTGTAGAGGGAACAAATAAGGGAACAAAATGCACCCTTGTCTGACACCTTTGCCTATAGGTAAGCATTCTGTCTCTACCTTATTCAGTCCTAACAGTAGCTTCTTATTCATAATTGAGATGAAGCATCAGGACAAAATACTGCTGAGGCACACTCATTTCTTTCAGAACAACCCATAGCTTCTCATGATCTACATACACAGTCAAAGGCTTTGCTGTAGTCTACAAAGCATAGGCTGATCTTCTTCTGAAATTCTTTGGCATGCTCATTGCAATAGTCAGTGGATATTTGCAATATGATCTCAAATGCCTCTTCCTTTTTAGAATCCATCTTGAGCATCAGGCCTTTCTTTCTCTATATAGGGTAACAGCCTTTGTTGCAATACTATGAGCAACACTTTCCTTGCATGGGAAACTAGAGTGATGGTCCTATAGTTGCTGTACCCCTTGGCTTCTCTTTTCTTGGGTATTGTGCATTGAACACTGCTAGTCTGTGGGCCGTGTTTGTTGTTGATTAATACCTTGGTGCTATGTCATCCAAGAGCCTTCTAATGAATGTACTGTAGATAGGCAGAACTATTGCCAGAATTGGCTCTACCTAGAGGATCCAAACTGTGACTTTCCATGGGCACCAGCCTTATGTGTGAATTCATTGTGTGAATAATGAACGTTACAAGCCTGTTTTTTATCCATCATGGCTGAGCAGTTGACAGATGGCAAATGAGCAATTGACAGATTTAAAAAGGAGAGATGCATGCAAAATCCATGACATTTAACAACAGAGGGACTTGGTGGCACTGCGGGCTAAACCACAGAAGCCTTTGTGTGCTGCAGGGTCAGAAGACCAGCAGTCGTAAGATCGAATCCACGCGACGGAGTGAGCACCCGTCGCTTGTCCTGTGATCTAAGTCTTGGAGCATCATTCTTATTGTTGTTCATCAAGTCATATCTGACTTATAGTGACTCTATCTATGAAGATCTCCAAAATGCCCTGTCGCACTGGCCATGTGACCACGGAAGATTGTCCTCGGACAAAACGCTGGCTCTATGGCTTGGAAACGGGGATGAGCACCGCCCCCCTAGAGTCGAACACGACTGGACAAAAAAATTGTCAAGGGGAACCTTTATCTTTATAGGTGCCTTAAGTTATAACTAGTTATGTTTTTCCTATATATTTAAAAGAATCTTCTTAGTTTTGTGGAGTTGATCACAGGATAGAATTCTGCCTACTCCATGCTAGAACAATGGCCTGTAGAAAAGGCAATAGAATTTCCAGAGCAAGCATAGATTGTGTAGCTTTCTTGTGGATTTGGGGCCCGCTCAAGAAACCGAGAAAGTTCATCTCTGCAGGAAGGGTCTTTTTGCTTTCCATCCTCTACCTCAAGAGGCCCCAGAAACACAAGAGCTGAACTTACGATTTGATGCCTTGAAGTTGGGGAGGACAAGTCCGTTAAACACAGTGGTTAGTAGCCTGTTTCCTAAACTGAGAGCAGAAGAGAAAACTTATAATATGCCTTCAGCTCTGACATGTTCCCCATTGCATGACTAGTTGTGTGACTGATCTTGCAATCAAAGCACAAACAGGAATACAACAGGGAGCCTGACAAAGTCAGATATTTACGCCATTTCTCTTCTGCTCTGCAATTTAGGCAACACGATGATAGTCATGGAGACTTCTTTCCTCCCATACAGAACAACTTGACTGAACTGGTAAATATTATGTAACTGTGGATAGGATTGTGCTGCAAAGCTGCCGTTTGTGGACACTGACGTTATCAAAGCCTGTGTTTCATTTCACCGATTCATTTCATCTAGTGGTGTGAGCAGTGGTTTAGGCTGTAGTATTTTCTTGGAGTAGAAGTTAAGGAGAAGAGTGCATCAGGGTGCACAGGTGTTGCGTTATTTGTATAGTTCCTTGCCAATTACATGTGGCATCCTTACTGGGAGTAAACGGTGGATCATCAGAAGTTATGAAGATCTAATCACAATTAAGGTCTAATACCATTTAATAAAGCAATACAAGAACAAGAATAACAACATCAACATGCTTTGCAAATATAAAAAGTATATGCATCACATTCTTTTGAGGATAACATACAGACAAATACAATCCATTGGTCTTCCTCAACCCAGTACCTTCCATCAGTTTTGGACAACTAATGCTTGGGCTGATTGGAGTTACAGTCAAAAATATTTAGAGGGCTGAGGAAGGCTGCAATATATGTTTTCTCAGTAATATGTTTCACTGAGCTTAGAGAAGCTTACTGTCAACATATCTGGTAAGTGTTTTCAGAATTTCATTGTTAGAAGCTGGATAAGGCACTCAGTAATAAAACCATAAAAATAATGTTACTGCAAATTAATTAATTAATACCATGAAAACTGTACTGTATCTGTAAGAAAAAAATAAGATGTATATTGAGCTAACATCCCACTTTGCTTATATTCATCGGACTAAACCAGCAAGGTAGTAGTGACTGTTGGCATATACTTGCTTATAATATGATTTATTGTTACATGCCATCAGGCTGTTTCTGACTCATAGGAACACTATGAATCAATGGACTCCAAAAGCTCCTATCATTAGCAGCACTACTTAGTTTTTGCAAAGTAAATATTGTGGGTTCTTTTAAGCCAATACACCTCATATTAGATCTTTTTCTGTTCCTACTGTCCTCCAATTTTCTGAACATTATTATTGTTTTTTCTACTGAATCTTTTTTAATCAGCATATATCCAAAGGATGAAAGCCTCAGTTTTAGTCAGAGGAAAATAAATATGCACTTTGGAATTCATTGTATGAATATGAAACTTACCAAGGTCAAATCCCAGTTTTTTTTAGCTGAGTGACCAGGATCTGAGTAGCAATTTGGACCATGGTCTCCTGTCCTAGTTCAGCACTCTATCCACTATACAGTATCACACTTGCTCTCTACGTTGGACTGCCTAACATAAGGTTTTTAAAGGCAAACTAACATTTTCAATGAGTAAGACTGCTATTATCATTACTTTTTAAAATGTTCTTTTAAAAACTTTTTGAGGGTATTTTTTTTCTGGCACTGATCCAGTTTCACATTAACATGGTAATGGTAATACTGTATATTATTTCAAAGCTTATCAGTTATGTTCTGCTGGTGCAAGCATATATTCCTTAACAGGACTGGTACATTTTGGTCCGCTGTTCCAGCTTTACTATTCTCCCTTGGGGATGCTGGACTCATAATGGAGTTATGGCCTCCTGGTAAAAGTTCTTGCAGCTTCCCTAACACACTCGAAACATTTCACCATGTTATGATGTGCATCCAAGAAGGGGCACAATATGTTTACCTGGTCTCAGTTACAAGGTGACCTATGTGATAACATGCTCTGTTTTCAATTGCTCCTCCCAAATCTGGTTTTCCTCAGAACAGGTGGTCAGGTATCCTATGAGACTTATGCATAATATGCAGCTGGAATCTTTTTGAGCCTGGAGAGGATTTTGCCATGTTCTTCTCAGAAATCTAAGGTCATCCTCTTGCAGGCTTGTTGTGACTTCTGGCCTTTGGTACAAGATGCTCAGAGAGGTAAAACTATCTGCTTTCTTTCCTTCCTCCCAACCACATTGGTCCAGGTCCACGGGAAAACCTATTTTCGTGTAGAAGATTATATTCCTGCCAGTCAAATTAAGAAAATGACTTTAGAATTCATACAGCATGAGCTTGCCAAGCTGCATCGTACGACCCATTCTCTCTTTGAAGAAGAAGCTGAACTTGAGTTTTTAAAGGTATATTTCCATCTATATAAGGACACAAACCACTGACTGGTTTGGTGTTTATCTCAGTTCATCCGTCGGCCCAACAGTTGTCCTGCAGTGCCAAGGCCTGCCTCCTCCTATGGGGGGGCGGTGGTGGCACTCGGAGGCAGTGCCCAGAGAAGGCAGGACAGGGAGGTCAGAGTGGACACCCACTGGAGGAAGTAGGGCTCAGAACTGTGGAACACATTTTAGGTCGACAGGCAAACATGCCCATCTCTATTCCAGTCTCTATGCATGTTTTAAGCAGACCCTACAGATCTGAATTTTTTTTATTTTTAGCTTTCTAAGAGCCTAAGTACCTTGAATTGTGTCTGAAAGTGAACTGGTAATCCGTGAAGAAGCCGTAGAAAGCTATTTCTGTTCTTATTATAAGTCACTGGGGTAATTAACAGTTTGGCTGCTGCATCTTGGGCCTGCTAATGTTTTTGAACTCTCTCAAAGGCAACCTCACCTAGAGTATATTAAGAGTAACCCATAGGTCCTGATCCCACTGCCAGAATAAATGCTCATTACCTTAAGTCATGTGGACTTTAGCCTAAATCCAATAATTTTGTGCAAGTATGTGCATCCTCATGTTTGTCACTGCTACCACCTGCATCACTGGGGGTGATTCAGCTGATGGAGGGGCCAAGCAATGGGGCAGGTTGCAAGGGGCAAGTGGGCTTCTGCAGGGGTGATTGGGTGGGCGGGCAAGGTGGCAGGTTGGTGCGGGGACAATAGGGCTGGCATGGGATCATCAGGCAAGCAAACGAGGGGTTGACTGGTGGGCGAGTGAGAACAAGTTTTTCTGCTCCTCTCAGAGGTGTTCACATGCATGGAATTGATTTCACATCCACCTCAAAATAAATGTACCTCTGGTGGAAGAGCAGAAAAACTCACTCCCCTGGCACACTATTCCATGCGTGCATGTACCTCTTGTGTACGCCCAAGTTTGAATTCGATTTCTTTGATCAGAACCCAATACAAGAGTGTTTTTTATTGTCAGTGGGATTAGACTCGCAGCTAGATCAGACAACTCCAGGACTGGTGTGCTAACATGATTGAATAATGAAACAGATTAAAAACAGACTAAATATCAGGGTTGCTCCAATGTTACAGGCTAGACTACAGGCAAGAACCTGTATTTTAATTTATTTCTATTTGTGTTTAGTATGCACTAGCCCTGAACTGGAACTGGCCAGTGGGGAAGTGACCCTGGACTTAGTTCTAAATGATACCACCCCAGGGCCTCATGTGAGATGTTGCTATGGTCAAACTGACTGAAAAAAGTGACAGCAGATTAAACAACAGTTACTTCTGTGTAAGTCTGCAATCTAGACTCAAGACCATGCTGTCCTGTTTCTTCAATCACTGTTCCACTCCGGAAACACCCACTTTCATCTGAATTAAAATACTGTATATAGCCGCCTAGAGTGGTCCGGTGGGCCAGATAGGTGGGGTATAAATTAAATAATTAATTAAATAATTAGTGTGTTTAAGACTGCAGCAAAGCAAACTGTGCTGCTTATATACCGCCCTATAGTGCTTCAAGCACTCCCTGGGCGGTTTACAAGTTAATTATGCAGGCTACATATTGCCCCCCCCCCAAACAGGGTATTCATTTTACCAACCTCAGAAGGATGGAAGGCTGAGTCAACCTTGAGCCGGCTACCTGGGATTGAACCCCAGGTGGTGAGCACAGTTTTGGCTGCAGTACAGCAGTTTAACTACTGCGCCATGAGGCTCTTAACTTAAAAAGCTAAGCAGAACTGACTACAGTGACTATCAGCATGGGAGACCACCAGGAGACCCTGCCAGTTGGAGCTGACACAATATTTGGCTGGGCTGACCAGTGTTCCTCTGGTTCTCTGCCACAATCCTAACAAAATTTATGACAATTTGCCTTTGAAGGGAATCTCCTATTGGGGACACTGGGGCTCACTGGTCCCTCTTGAGGTAAATTGCACCCAAAAGGCATGATTTGGCAAAGACATCTGCAGGGAAATTCATGGTCACCCACCCACACCATAATACTAAGCTACTTTGGGGGCATTGCGATGACAACTTTTTAAAACAACATATATGGTTAAATACTGTGCTGGTTGCTGCAGTGGAAAGATAGGAAATAATTTAGTTATGAGCAGAGAAAAGTTTTTTGGATGTGCTTTTTTAAGAAACAGGAGTTATAAATGCAATATCAAGAACCATGAATAAATGTTTAGAGGGGCTTTTAGAATGTGTAGAGGGAGGGGAGTAGATTGAAGGTATATTGGTGAGGCAATTCCCATTTCCGACATTCTCTGCATTGATACTGAGGCTTTCAATCATCACATTGAGTAACTGTGCTCCATTTCCCTTTTGGTATGCAAAGGTGATCCAGCAGCTTTCAGAATATGGAGTGCTTTTCTATCGTGTGTTTCATGAGAAGAAAACAGTAGGAGGAGACTTATTGTTAGGAATATGTGCCAAGGGGATCATAGTCTATGAAGTGAAGAACCACATAAGGATCTCCAGTTTACGATTTCAGTGGCAAGAAATGGAAAGGATTTCAGCTCAGGTGAGTGGATGCAGGATGTGCTTCAGTTCAGTTTCATCCCTGATTGTCTCAACACTGTTCCTCATTCTCTTTCACAACACCTTGGTTTACGTTGCTTTATCTCATGAGTTAATCAGTCAATTGACTCCATCTTTAGTGCATGAAGCACGGCATTTAGGAGTGCAGCTGTAAGAGATTCAAGTATGATTCAAATGATGATAGCATCACAAAGGATTCAGTTAGTGTTTCAAGCAAAGTGTGCTGCTTATATATCGCCCCATAGTGTTTCAAGCACTCTCTGGGCAGTTTACAAGTTAATTATGCAGGCTACACATTGCCCCTCCCCCGGTGAGCTGGGTACTCATTTTAGCGACCTCGGAAGGATAGAAGGCTGAGTCAACCTTGAGCCGCTACCTGGGATTGAACCCCAGGTCGTGAGCACAGTTTTGGCTGCAATACAGTGGTTTACCCACTGCGCCACAAGGCTCTATCTCACTTTATCTGTAGAAATGCAGGACCAGATGATACCTTTATTGGGCCATTATGAAACTGTCCAGTGAAGGTATCACCTGTTCCTGCATTTGTATTGTTTTGAGGACCATGCGGTGTTGTCCTGTTTTTTTTCTATATGTAGAAGCTCTCTGTGGGATCAGAAATCCGGATCTCTCAGCATTTTCAATTGTGTTAAGGGCTTCCACAAGAGGAGGAGACTCTCCTCTTAACAACACCAGTCATCGGATCAGGACAGGCACAGCAGCAGTAATGAAGAGGATGGGGCTAGCACATGTCCTACCTTTCCTCACACAGCCTACATGGGCAATGAACACCTCTGCCTACGGTTCTTGCTTCTATGACATTTGCTTTTGTGCGCTACAAGCTGAACTATCTGAATGTGCTCCACACATGGCCACCTTGACACAGTCCAAACATCTTTATTGGTTCATAATGCAGCAACAGACCAACTTGCTTTAGTGAACTGATATGAATATATAGCAAACTTCATAAAAAGCATACAGTGGGCTGGAGTTTTTCTGAAGCCTAAATAACATGTGACCAGGAAAGTATGTGCACTGATTTCATCATGAATGGAAAATGCAGCAACTAGAGCTGTTTGTTGATTTTGTCAGTGACAATAAGCCATGAGCCATTTTAGTTTTTCTTGTGCACATTCAGTCTGAATGATGAGGTAGCTGGGCCCAGGACAGTCTGCTACTGCCGAGATGGACTATACCTGAACTACAGAGGAAAGTCTTCTGTGAACACAGTTTCATTGCTGCTGCAATCATCATGAACAATGGCAAATACATTGAAAATGAATGAAAGAATATCCACTGTTCATTTTCTAAGCATGTGGCCATCCTCAGTTTTGCTACACCCCTCACTCTGACAACCACAGCTCACTGCCCTGCTGTGCTTGAGGATTCTCAGAAATGATCATTACAGTGGTTCGTCCTCAATCAACAATAGTAGTTCTTAACTAAATGGATAGTTGACCTTCCTAAATAAAGTGTTACTAAGTCTGTACACGGAGTGGTAAGTAACATCTGCATTTTTGTTTTATTAGAAAAAGAAGTTTATGATTGAAAGCAGTTTCACTGGGAAAAAGTACACCTTCCTTACAGATACTATAAAAACATGTAAATATTTGCTGGATCTTTGTTCTGCTCAACATGGATTCAATGCACACATGACTTCTAAGAAGCTTCTCCAGGCTCCTTCAGGTGAGTTAAGGTGAAGAGAATTGTCCAGTTGTTAGGATCCTAACTAGGAACAATGTATTTAATCTGTTAATACATCTGGAAAATAGTAAACTGCCCATAATTTCCTGACTTCATTGGGAACAGCTGATTGAAGAAATGTCATATTCATATACCTTAAAGTGACACAACCCCTTATTTCTTACAGAAGATTGTAGATTTATGGAAATAGTAAGATCAAGTTCTGCATTTACGTGTCCACGGGATAACCTCAACCTGATTCAGAGACTCTCCTGCTCAGAAAATTTACTATATGGGACCAGCCCAGGATGTGTATCTACTGGAATTATAAGCAAGTCTTGTGATAACCTTAATATGCAAACCAGCCATGAAAAAAGCAGTCAGAGCAGGTATGATTTAGAAAATAAGCATTAATCCACTAGAATATGTCAGATTGTGTTGTTTATTTTCTGGACCTTCTCAAGAAGTCTAAAATGTACCTTCAAGAACATTTTTGAAATAATTATGGCAATTAACTTCTGCTCTCAGATACTGAATCACTGGACTGAGGAGAGAGCACAGACCAAAGAACTAGTGAAAAACTCAATTTAAGCAAGATCAACAAACTAGTGAAAGACTCAGCTTAAGCAAAGTGGTTTTTCCCCCTGTTGGTGCAGTTTTCAATATGCAGTTGAGATTATAGTTGCAATGTTTCCGTCCCAGAGATATCAGGGCCAGGCCTGAGACCGAGAGGAAGATTCTCGTGATGTTATAGCAGACAGGCCTTTCGGCAACAATTGCAAGATTGCCTGTGCATGACAGATCAACAATGCAGGGAATGCATGATGAATCTGAAGGGCAGCCTGAGAATTCCAACAGTAACAGCTCTAGGGTATGCAAGACAAAGAAAAATATAAGGCTGCTTCTAAGCATGTCTAAATGGCATGTTCTGAAGCTATGAGAATGAACATAATACAGGGTTACCTGGTTAGCAGAATCCTGTTTCCATGAGATTTCAAGTCCAAAGTATGAGACCTGGAGAACCGACTGTAAAACCTGGGACTTGCCAACTCTAGTGGTACACATTGGCTGAAATCCTGTTGTGTAAAGTAGCACGTTGCAATTGGAGTGGGACCACGGAATCAGTGGCATTTATGGAGGAGTTGTCTCACCAAATCCCCACTGATTCAGTGAGGCTACACTACTTGTGACTTACTCTGCTAAGCAACAGGATTTCAGGCATTATATGGTAGTGAACAGGACAGTGCCCCTGTTCCCCATTCCAGCCAGCAATACACCCTCGTAGGAAACTGTGAATTTTAAGGGATTTAGGCAATCCCATTCACTTATTCACACCATTCTCCCAACTCCCTTTTTCCTGTACAAAATTTTGTAGCTCTTAGACTGTGTATACTGAAGGCACTGTAAAAAAAAAGTTTGTTGAGCAAATATGAAAGTGAAACTAGCTTCTGTTCCCTTGGCCTAGTAGTTCTGGTCCCGGTGTGCATGTATAACCTTACTTTGGTCTGTTAAATTTTGATGCCTATAAAAGAGTTGAAATATATTTACTTTTATGCAGAGGCAAAGCAGTGGATATTACACAAGAGCCTTCTGATCCTAATTTTCCAACTGACTTCGATTAGTCTATGGCTATAGAAATTGTTGGCCTACAGCTTGCAGGGGGAGGGAATCTCACTCGGTTTTTCGGTTCCCCTCCCACAATAATTTTTTTTGTACTTCAAAAAGCAAAATGTTTTAGGAAAACTGTACGTTTCCTATAGCAGATAAAGTGATGGATTTGGACTCAGGAGACTTGAGGTCGTTATGGTAAAACCACTCCTGAAATGGCTCATTTACCTTGAAATCCCTATTAAGGTCACTGTGTGTCAGATATGACTTAATGGCACATACCATAACTACAGTATGTTAGCCCACTGCAGCAAAACCCACCAAGAGACCATGTGGCACCTTAGAGACTGACACATTTGACGGCTCTTAAAAGTGTCCTGAACTGGCACCAACCTCGGTCAGATTTACAGAGCATTGCCTTATTTATTATACACATGTTCATGGGAAGTAGGTGGCCAGTGAAGTGGCAGGGTACAAAAATGCAAAAAGTACAATGTTCATTACCTTAAATTATAACTAATACTAATTATGTTCCATCAAGTCTATATTGAATTTGGGCAACCCTTCCCAGGGTTTCTAGGTTTAAAATACCCAGAAGTGGTTTGCCACTCACTAAATGTGGTCATTAACAAACAGCTGCTAGGTGTAACCCAGACATGCCAGCATACATGAACTGATTAACACATATATGGTGATAAAAACTCAAATGGGGCAAAGAAAGGGAAACTAAAATATTTTCCAATACTAACTTTTTTTTAAAAAGTCACTTTTCAGAGCACCTTTTCCTAAGATCCACCCAGCCCATTAGGTCCACTCAGGCCATGATCTTCAGGGCAGCCACTCCAAGGGAGGCCAAGAAATCTTCTACCAGAAGTAGGGCCTTCTTTGCAGTGGCTCCAACGTTATGAAGTCAGTTGCTGGTGGAACTGCACTTGGCCTCCTCCCTCCCATTGTCCAAAAGTTCTTTGAAAACTCTGCTGTACAGAGAGGACTTTTTTTGTCAACCCTGCATGTTCTGTCTTCTTTTCCTTTCATTTTCTTTTTGCCACTCCTTATGTCCATATGTCCAGGCCATATTTCTTTTTATATTTCCACCACTTGTTTGTCATTTTGTTTTTATATTATTGTTTCAGCTGATTGTAAATCACCCAGAGTATTGCTTCTGGGCGGCTTATTTTGTAAGCCACCCTGAATAGACATTGTCTAGAGGGGCGGGGTAAAAATCAATCAATCAATCAATCAATCAATCAATCAATCAATCAATCAATAATCAAATAAATAAATAAATAAATAAATAAATAAATAAATAAATAAATAAATATCCGTGATTCAAAATGCCAGGATGTGGCTTCACATTGCCTTGTAATACTTTGCATGCACTACCAGCAGGAAGAAAAAAAAAGATGCAAAGCTTTACGTAGCAAAGGCTAGCCTGAATGTTGACAACACCAATGTTAGCAGCCGAGAGGGTCTGCAGTATCCTTGCTTACTCTCATTCACACACAGACACCAAGTGACCCAAGTGGTGGCAAATCCCAGAACCTGACACCGTTTTTTATCCATTAAACATTTCGCATCCAAAGACAAACTAGCTGTCATGGCAGTTTTTCAACAGGTACTCTAGTTATTTATTGCTTGGGGCACAAATATATCCAAACATATGGGAAGAAAAAAAAAGGGCGGGGGGAACAAATCAATGAATATTATACAAAATAGGCTGCCTGGATTTGGAACACTGGGATTCATTGACCTTAGTTAGTTAGTATTCACCATCTGGGTTCACATTGTGGGTTAGGACAAAATATATTTCAGTTGTTATGCCCTTCGTTTATGTCTGATTGCTGGCTGGCTGGCTGGCTGCCTGCCTGCCTATCTAACTACTATTTCAGAAAAAAGCAAAGCAAATGAGATCTATTTTCATATTATTGGAGCAGATATGGGGCAGTTCAAGAAGCCCCCATTTGTGCTCGTGTCTGTAAGAATACCCCCTACAAATGGATATTTTGGGCTTTCAAATGCTCACATTCAACTTGGCAGCAGCTGTTGCAGCAAAAGAAGGAAGTGCCAAAGCAGCTGGAGATTGACGGTTGACTCTCTGATGCAAGACTCAACCTCCAATCACAGAACCCTGGGGAGCACTTAGAACAACCTCACTGGGACTCTATTTAGTTCACTTCCACCCATCCAAGCAACCATCACGTGCCCAAGCATGGCAAGGAGAGATACTGTACATTGCTTCTTAGATTGCCCACATTATAGAATTATCTTGCTTTTTTTTCCTTTTAGGTAGCTATACCAAGTCATCACTAAGGAGGCGGAGGGGAGAGAGAGGGAGAGAGATGGGATGGATAACTAACTGTCTTGTATGGGCTTTGATTAGTTAGATCAGATTAGAGCAGTGATGGCGAACCTATGGCACATGTGCCACAGCTGGTACACAGAGCCCTCTCTGTAGGCACACAAGTCATAAGTCACCATAGAGAAATACATACCCGTCCTCCGATCTTGGATTTCGGCACTCCCCTCTGCTGCTGCAGTGGTCCAGCGGAGGGGTGCAATGGCAACCATTACCGGTCTAGCCCAATGGGGGATTGGAGGACCCATAAGTATTTCTTTGTTAATACCGCCCATAGGGGGGAAAAACGCACAAGCATTTAGCCCTTGCAATACAGGAGCAGTTGTTTTTTCTAAACTAAAAACTAAGCATTCGGTTTTTAATTGCAGTATTGGCACTTTGAAAAAAATAAGTTGATTTTGTGTTGCAGTTTGGGCATTCGGGCTCAAAAAGGTTCACCATCACTGGATTAGAGCTAGGGATTGTATCTCCCACCACCCCCATTTTCTTTCTTACTTTAAAAATGCCTGGTGCTAGTCTTTACTGGCACTGAGAAGATTAACAAGCTTACCACCCTTTGCCATCTGCCAACCTGAATTTGAACTGCTTTTTTCCCACAGCAGATCAAAATTGCCTGAAAATCATCTGTTACAAATGAGTGCTATATTTGTCAATGAATCAGACAATCATCTCAGGCCACAGGTCTGCCTGCCATTGGCTAAGCTGAAACTATTCATAGTCTTTCAGAATTACTTAAGCAATATCGAACAGCTCTCTTTTGCAATAACTTCTTGATACTCCTTTTGGCAAGTCCTTGTGACGTCATCATGTAACCAAATCTGATTGGCAGCATAATGTCAAGACCAGAGGAAATAACACATTAAAAATAAATCTGTTCACACTTTTGAACACATTTACACTTGTTGAAAACAGCTATGACAATTGCTTTGTGTTTATGTGAGAAGTGGTTAACTGAGTCAGCTTCTGGGATTTTCACTTGCATGATGTCACTTTGTAAGTGGTAGTAGTGAGCACAAGAAGGGATCCTGTAGGCCACCTTGATGGCTGCCATTGGTGTTGTCAACATTCAGGCTGCCCTTTGCTATGTAAAGCTTGGCATCCCTTTTCCTGTTGGCAACATGGGCATGATATTGTGAAGCAATATTGGGCCATTTACTGGCTTTTTGAATTGTGGGCACAAAAGCACAATATTCCACATTCATAAACTGGAGGGTTTTTGGAAAATTGAATTAGCGTACAGTGAACCATCGTGTGATTCAAACAGAATAAACAGGATTTGAATTGCCTCTTTATATGCTCAGTTTTATGACTTTGTGGGTATCATGTTTGTACACTGCGAATTCTTTAATTGGGCTTATACTATGCAAATAAATAAATAAAATCATCTCAGTGGAAATATACTTCTTTGTCTTTAGTGCTCCATCTAGGTTATCACAATCAGAGCTAACCATTAGTTTGAATGAAAACCAAAGAAGTTGTAACTACCTTTCTATCAATTCAGCCCAGAATACGGCTGCTGGTGGTGAGTAGCACTTGGAATTCCTTTACAGTGGTGCCTTCTATGCAGAGCTTGGAATGTTAGGATGAAAATTAACTCATTGATGTTAATAGCTTGAAAAGAGAAATTATTGTTGTTGATTCTGGCAAGCCTGGAACTAAATTTATTGTTATTAATTTGCTATTTTAAAAGAAAGCATTGGGTTTGTAGAGAATGGCATGTTTGGTTGTCACTGTTGTCTCCTTGAGTCACTTTTGTCACTGGCTCTTCTTATAGTTTTAAAGGGTTTGTCTGGAGTCGGGTGGGGCAAGCTAAACAAGGTTGCTTAGAGGCATACCTCAAGCAACCCTATTTGGTCCGCACCGGCCTGATGTCAAATTGTAAGTATCATGAAGTGTCTTAAAAAGAAAGCCACCAGGATATTGGCAAATTAAATACATGTTTGGCTTCATGGGGGGGGGGGGCAAGGATTGTTTTTTAAAAGATATATTAAGGCAGCTCAGGCGTGCTGCACAGCTTTTTTTTTACAAAAAAAGGAAAATGGGAAACTTCCTCCCCGAAATGGGCGAAGACAAGAGAGGGCAACAAAGGGTATTTTTGCTTTTCTCTAAAAGATCCAATTGAGAAGCAGTTGGATCCTTAAGAGAAAATCAAATAAAAATTCCTCTTGTTGCTCCCTCCTATCTCTTCCCACTTCCAGGAGAAAGTTTACCATTTGCTCTTTTTCTTTCTTTCTTTCTTTCTTTCTTTCTTTCTTTCTTTCTTTCTTTCTTTCTTTCTTTCTTTCTTTCTTTCTTTCTTTCTTTCTTTCTTTCTTTCTAAGTGTTAATCTCACTTCTTTAGTGCCTTCATGGAGCTGAACAAGTGTTTAATTCACCAGTGTCCTCAAGCAGCTCATTGGAGGACTCACTTCTGGTTCATTTCCAACTATTGCACATGCTGGGAACAAGCCAAAACAAAGCAATCTTACCAGCACTAAAAAGTAGAAGCTCCTGGTGGGATTAGGAAAGTGAGGGTAGGAACGTCCTGGGGGTTTTCTTGTTCGTGCCAGCAAAGACATCATATGTTCATCATCTTTAGGTGTAAACTAGCCCACTCCTATACTGGACCAAACGGTGAGCTAAATGCTAGTGTAGTACTCTGTAATTTCCCTTGAGGGAGCTGGCTTTTGGACCTCTTGTGGCACAGTCCAGTGCAAGCTATTTTCTGATCAGATGGCATATGGGAAATCACAAACCAGTCCACCCTGTTCCATTCCCAGCCTGGACCAATTTGGTCCAGCAGCAGAGCTGGGCTGTTGTAATCCCTATGTGCATGGAAGGGTCACTTTAAAGGAGATTGCTCCCAGCAAAGTGACTCTTTTTAATGAGTTTAAATATGATCTTATACTGCCACCTTATTGCATTCATAGTGAGAGGTACACTGGAGAAAATGTGAATGATTCTGTTGTGAAGTCCTACCCAGAAAGTTGGGTTTCCCTGGATGAATTTACTTCATCGAACCACATAGTAGTCAGCAGAGAGCGGGTAGGGAATCAGCCTCATTTGCAACTTTTTACCTATTGGAATTCTCTCCTCCCCACACCAGGTACCTGGGTCTTCTTGTTTCTTTCTTCCCTTCCTATTTCATTTTGTCCCCTTTCTTTCCTACCAGGAGCATATACTTTTTACAGTTAGGTGACCAAGAAATCAACAGGGACAGGAGAAAGTTTACAGTCCAGCCTTGTTTCCAAGCTTGTTAAAGTTGCTCTGCTTCAGCTGTACAGATTTGCAGGAGGCACAGATACAGTAGGACTACCTTAAAACTCACGCCTCTATCTCTGCTGTTTCCTTGCTATCCTACCACTAGATTAGCAAGCCTTGAAAAGAGAAGGAAGGGAAGGGAAGATGAAAGCAGACTCAGGCACCAGGTGTAGGGAAGAAAGGATTAAAATGGTAGCCAGTTTCCCTGCCCCCTGCCTCTCTCTGCATTGCTGTAGCTGGCTAGAATTGCTTCAAATGGGATGGCTACAAAACTCTCCAGATCATCTCAAGTGATCACACCACCTGACCTGAGAGATGTGGATTCACTGACAAAAAGGGAGAAGGCCCAGTGGCAGGTTAGGACAGGAAAATGTCGAGCTGATTCACATTGGCTTTTACATCATGTCATCAACGGGGAACAATGTGAACCAGACAGCCTCAGTACTGGAGCATCTCTTGCATTATCAGAGTCAGATATCAAGAGTTTAATTCCCCATTGTGCCTCCCAGGAGGAGAGCCAGATTGAGTAGCCCTGGGCATGTTGCAGAAAAGAAGAGAATCTTAAAGCACTTCTGAGTACTCCCTGAGTAGCCCTGGGCAAGTTGCAGAGAATCTTAAAGCACTTCTGAGTACTCCATACATAGGAAACCCCAAGAAGGGGTTGGAAGTAAATTGGAATTGACACCATGGCACATAATTCCCCAACCCGTCTCTTTCCAGATGCACTGGATTACAAATGCTATTATCTGTTGGCAGGGGACAGTGCAATTTGTAGTGCAAATTTTGTTTGCAAATTATGGAAACTAGGGGAAGATGTCCTAAGGCACAGAAAGTGACAACCTGTACAATTAAGTTGTGTCACTGATACACAACTCTCCCCCTTTTACATCGCTCCCCCTTTTACCAACATATACTATATGCTGTGGAGCCACCCTTCAAACAATGTGTGTTGTTTGACTAGGCTAGAAAATATGAACGGAGGCACTGAAACATTGCAGTGTTGAATAATGCCTGCAACAGGGCCCCCCTAATCTCTGTCCCTTTCCTCTCAAAGCTCCACCTGATTACCCATGCACCACTCTATGTCCCAGAGTCAGATATATTCTCATGATCTGACTACTGGAAGATCTGCCAACGCTTCAGCATCATCTCAGACCTATCTAGACTGAGTTTCAATCAATCTTCATCTTGCCTGGTAAGAATGGACAGACTTACACTGTGTTTTTACTTCTGTGTCTCTTTTTCTTGCTTCCAAAGCATCAGGTTTACCAAGCCCCCAGATGGAAAATTCAGTAACCAGGGTGGAAAAGGAAATAATCTGTGTCACTTTAAAGCGTGACGTCTGACTACTGGAAGATCTGGCAATGCCAATGCTTCAACGTCATCTCAGACCTATCTAGACTGCATTTCAATCAATCTTCATCTTGCCTGGTAAGAATGGACAGACTTACACTGTGTTTTTACTTCTGTGTCTCTTTTTCTTGCTTCCAAAGCATCAGGTTTACCAAGCCCCCAGATGGAAAATTCAGTAACCAGGGTGGAAAAGGAAATAATCTGTGTCACTTTAAAGCGTGACCCTAAATGTGGATTTGGTGAGTAAGAAGTTGAATGCATTCCAGGATGGGAATGAAAGAGTGTCATAATTTGCAAACTTAAAATATTTCCTTTCCAACGCCACAAAGTCCACTGCATTCTTTGTTCAGTACAGAACAGTTTCAGTGTCAGCCAGCCTTTCCCGCTGCTCCCTACCTCATAAGCAAAGCATCTTTGAAAAAAGAAGATCTGTAAGGTGGAGTAATAGCTAATGATGACAGAGGCCTTTTTACCCTCACCTATCAGGCCTGAGTGCATTGTAGGCAGCTGGGAATCATGGTTCCAGCAAACGGTATGTGTATGCATGTGGGAAGGAGTACCCTTGTCCCCACCAAACGTACCTGTGAAGGTGGTGGTACTGAGAGAAAGACCTCTCCTGCTGATCTTAATACCCAGGCAGGCACATAAAGGAAAACTGCAGTCCTTGAGATAGCTTGGACCTCAGCTGTTTAGGGTTTCATAGGTTAAAACCAGCACGTACCCTCACAAACTGGCAGCCGGTGGAACTGCTGTAACTGGGGGGATTATGTGATCCCTGTGACCAGCCTCAGTTAGCAATCTGGCTACTGTGTTTTGGATCCAATGACATTCTCAGACATGCTTCAGAGGTAGCTCCACATAAAGTGTGTTACAGTAATTCAGCTGAGATGTAACTAAGGAATGTGTCACCATTGCCAGATCAGACCTCTCTAGGAATGGGCACAGCTGGTGCACTAGTTTTAATGGTGCAAATGCACTCCTGGTCACCACTGAAACCTGGGCATCCTGGCTTAGAGACAAGTCCAGGAGGGCTCCCATCACCTCATCCTCGCCAGGCTCAAGCCACCCAACTCTGAGCCACCCCCGCCGCCGCATCCCTTTCCTGAACCGTTGGGGCGCAAGAGCTACAAAGAAGCAGCCTCTTCACCACCAACGGTTAGCACATTTAAATTTCCCACCCTTTCCCCCTGCCTTTTTTTGTTCATAAGTCAAAGCTCCGTTCGCAAGTCAAAGCCAAATTTTGTGAATGGAGCTGTTCGTAAGTCAAAATGCTCGTACGTCGCGGCGTTCGTAAGTCAAGGCACCACTGTATTCCTCTTTTGGGTGTTAGATGTGGAAATGAACAACATGATTGTTCTCTGTTATAAGTCAGTGAAATTTGATTTTGGGGAAATAGTATAAAGCATGCATGGAAATATTGTTTCCTGGCATATAGATTCCCATGTATATCTGGAGTTTTTCTTTCATCCTTTGTTTCCTGAATTCAGGGAGGATTGAGGCACATGCTTAATTCCCAGAAGAAATCAAAAAGCTCCGAACACAACATGTCTCCTTTTTAAAAAATGTAAATGAAATAAAATCAGAACGTGGTTTATGAGACTTTTCTAAAAATATTGTTATGATTACCTGAATTTTAGTTTCCATGGTCTGAAAAAAAAAATCTAATCTTTTCAATATCAAAACACAATCTCATTTTTTCCAGGTTTTGTAATCATAGGAGGAGAAAATGTGGGGAAGTTAGACTTCGGCATTTTCATTGCTTCTGTTATTCCTGGAGGACCTGCTGACAGATGTGGGCACATTAAACCAGGTCACCATTTCCAGATCTTAAATTAGAATCCAAACAATTCTGTAGATTAAAATAATGCAGTGTTAACTTCAGTGCTTAATGCATTTTATTATTATTATTATTCTCTGTAGGAGGACGACTCATCTCTGTGAATAGCATTAGCTTGGAGGGTGTTTCTTTTAATATCGCAGTCAAGATTATTCAGAATTCTCCTGATGATGTGGAGTTGATTATCTCCCAACCCAAAGGTATGGAGGCAGCCATTGTTACAAGTTACTAATAATCAGTTCCTTTTCCCAAATATAAAGGTAGAACTACATTACTGTGAACTTAAAGAGGAATAATTTCACTCAATTTGCAGTGTAATGGCAATATTGAGTTTGTTTTGTTTTGTTTTCATGCTCTGTGATATATCTCTCTGATTTCTACGCTAGACTGAAAATTTGGGACCCAGAGTAAGCATTATCTAAAATGCATTTCTTGGAATGTGTCAGATCGGTTAAACAAAATCCAGGACCCAAGATTCCTACATTTTGTTAAAAAGGTGTTGATGCAATTGTTATGTAGGAGATATGGTTAACTTCAGGTGACAAAACAGAACCCTGAAGGACATCATGAAGCAATAGCCAGAGTGTTGATCAGGAGTCCATCACCACCACATTGATCTAAGTTCTCCCCTTGACAAGGACCAGAGCCACCGTAAAATAGTACCTCCAAGTCCCACCCCAGAGAGATAATCCAGAATGATACAAAAAAGATATCATAAGCTTTTCTTTAATTAGAGTTTTGCTGCAGAGACACCAAGGTGCCTCACATACTCTTCTGGAAATCCAGTTTTAGTAATAAGACTCAATATGAAGGTTTCCCATGAACCACATTTCATCTCACTCTATGTTAATATTATAAAAGCTGGATAGAGTTTTCAGCCCACAGGTAATGGCTGCTTTATAAACTAAGGTCACTATTGGTGTTAGCATCCGTTCCAGTCTGACCAGAGTGTTGGACTTGAAGTGGGGGGAGAATAACAGTTGTGTTACTGTTATGTGCCATCAAGTCACAACTGGCTCATAGTGACTCTAACAGGGCTTCCAAGGTAAGTGAGATATTTAAGGAGTGGCCTTACCAGTTCCACATCCCGAGTGAGTTTTCATGGCTGACTGGGGATTTGAACCCAGGCCTCCTGAGTCTTAGACCATCACCCTATCCACTACACTGCATTAGGTGTCCTCCATCAACAGTAACTAGGCAGATTTATTTTATATGACTTGTAGCAGTTGTTAATTTCCAAGCCACCACTTTGCTGCTCCATACAGGATCTAGGGGAGTAATCTTTTTTTTTAATTGCACAAAAGGAAGAAACACGCTCCTATAAAGTCCAAGTATGCTAAACATGGCTGTTTCAAAATTCTGCTTAGCGATGTTACAGGGAGTAACCAAACACCCTCCTATAAAGCCCAAGTATGCCAAACATGGCTGTTTCAAAATTCTGCTTAGCAAATTCAACATGAGATGTCCAAGAGCCCAGCTGGTGAAGCACCACACTGAGAACAGCAATCCTTCTAAATAACCCACCATACTATGTATGTACACATTAAAACATACAATAAACCAATAGCCAAAGCCATGGGAGTAACCAAACACCCTCCTATAAAGCCCAAGTATGCCAAACATGGCTGTTTCAAAATTCTGCTTAGCAAATTCAACATGAGATGTCCAAGAGCCCAGCTGGTGAAGCACCACACTGAGAACAGCAATCCTTCTAAATAACCCACCATACTATGTATGTACACATTAAAACATACAATAAACCAATAGCCAAAGCCATTTAAAAATGAAACTCTTTGCCAGGACAAATACTCTTGTTCAGAAATAGCACAGGGGGAGGCAAAATTAAAAGAACTTGGTGTTATATCAACCACTAAGGAGAACAGACAAATAATCTGACTTTTAGACTAGATTGCTTGTGGTCCACCATGTTTGTTCTTGATTGTTCTAGACTTTTCTGAAGAAGGACTAAATGCTGAAAGGAATCTGCTAAGAAAAGTTGGCAGCACCAGTGATTCTGAGATCTCTTGTATTGACTATGAGAGACAAATTACAGAGGACAGCCAAGTAGAACCCACTGAAGAGGAAGGCGTGCCTCCAGACAATGAACCTGAGAAGCTTCTTTGGCATAATGTAACACCCAGGATTCCTATTGTTTCCATCACCAGCCTTGAGTCACAGGTAAGTTCATTCTGGTCCTGTTGCATAGTACATGTTCTGTTCTTTCAGCCTTTATTAATAATGACAGTTATCATGAACAGTGCAGAAGAGCTTCCTAAAATGTGAAATGGAGAAAGGGATCAGTGCTTGCTCTCATTGCCATCCATCTTAGATGCCTTGGTTGCATAACTATCTGAAGTGATTCATCCAGGCATTGGCACTGATAAGGTTATATAAAACACAGCTATTCACATTCAAAGTTATTTTTACCAAGGAATCTCACCTTCGGGAAGGGTTCTAGCTCCTTTTTCCATTTTGAGTCAGAGGATAATTTCCCTTCAAAATGCCTCAAATGCTAAAAATCTTTTTCAAACATCAATGGTATTCTGAAAGGCCATTATCCATGGGATTCTGGTAGCAGTAACAGTGTGGGCAACTAGCATGGAAGGGGATGCATGTGTTAGTTTGTTTCAGTTGTTTTTATACAATTATGCTACGAGCAAGAAAATGTGCCTTTGGGTTGTTGTTTTTCCATAAGTGCAGAACTTTGCACTTATCCCTCTTTAATTTCATCTGGTTGTTTTCAGCCCACTGCTTGAACCTATCAATATCTTTTAAAGTGTTGTTTCTGTCTTCCAGGCTCTTTTGCCCAATTTTGTGTCATCCACAAATGTAAGAAGCGTTCCCTGCACCCAAATGTTTTGCACTTTCTTCTTCCATCTTCTCAGGATTAACTTCAAATATCTGTTTGCCTTCCGCCAGTAATATGGTGTTGTCTGCATATCTTGAATTACTGACGTTTCTCCTTCCAGTTCTCACTCCTAGTTCATCTGAATCTAATCCAGCTTTCCAAATGATTTTGCATAAAGACTGAACAGCCAGGGAGATAAAGTGCACTCTTGTCTCACTCCTTGGATTATGGGAACCAAAGGTGTTTCTACATAGTCCATTTCTCCATATTCTATCCTAACAGTAGTTTTATGCCCAAACTATAGATTGCACATCAGGACAATCAAACAATGAGTCATACCCATTGCATTTCTCTTGTAAACTGGAATACATATGGAACATTTCCAGTCTGTGGGTCATTGTTGGCATATTCTTGTTAAAATTGTGTTAGATTTAGTTTCTATAACTTATAATAGTTTTACTGGCATTCCATCTGCTCCACTTTAATCTAAGTGCTTCAGAGAATGTCTTTCACTTTCTAAAACAGTAGGTTCTTCACCAGAGAATTCTTCTTCAAAGGAATCTGTCTTCCTTGCATCTTTTCTGTGTATTTCTTCAGTATACAGTATTTTTCCCAGCTTCTCGACATTTTGTTCAGATATTATGTTTCTGTGCTAATCTGAGCATCCCTATTCTAGGTTTAAACTTCCCTTTTATTTCTTGGGTTTTATTGAACCCAGGTCATGTGTTTTCTTTTTCCTTGTTTGTCTTTCTCTTCTATTTCTTTGCACTGACTGTTGTCTTTTTGAGATGATTTTTGAAAAGTTGCATTTAGATCCTGACTCTCTTTCTGTGACCTTTCCCTTTTGCCTCTGTCGTGACACGTCATTGGGCATGTCAAAAGTCTTCATGTGTTGCAAGCTTTCAATATGCATACCTGGAATGGTTGGAAAGGGTTAATCCCCACAGAAAAGTAGTCTGTGATGCCAATGGTGATGCTACTAATAGCTCACAGGTATCAGCTGATGCTTCCTGGGTATCAGACAATCTGGGTGATTGAAGGATTGTTAAATAAACAGCAAGAGCTTCCTTTGTTTCTCTTGGACCATTGTCTCTCCAGCTGGCCATCCCAGGACAATGGCCCCAGAACAGTGGAGAGATCTCAATGCACCGGTTCCACTTTATAAACATGTCTTAGCAATTTTGAACTCAAAAATCCAGGGAGAAATTGAAGAGACTTCTGGAAGCACTTGTATGGAGCACAGGTTTCCCACATCACTTAGAACTGTGTGTTACAGTGATGCTAATAAGTTGGTAAGGAACAGTTGACTAGTGCTGCACGCACCTCCAGAGAGTTTCCATGGCCGAGCAAGGATTTGAAAGGAACGGTTGACTAGTGCTGCACGCACCTCCAGTGAGTTTCCATGGCCGAGCAGGGATTTGAACCCAGGTCTTCACTTAGAACCAGGCCTCTTGCAGAGGTTAAGCTGGTTTAATGGCATTTATGTACAAATAGACCAAAACAGTCTCTCAACTGTTTCTGGAATTGCAACTATTGTAGCATAGTGGGATTTGGGAAGAATATTGAAAGGGTTCTTCTTTTCTTTTTAATTATTAAAGAAAGCTAATATATTTCATATAATTCCAAGGTTGTGCTCATGGTCTGACATTTCTGTTGGGCAGGAAGGAATTAGTGCTGGTGTTCCAAATGGAGAAATCTGTAAGAAATCCATTATCCCTGATGAACCTGGTGATAAGGGCAATCAATCGAGGAAAGGTAACACTTTTTACAGCATCTATTCTTCAGCTGCTAAAAGTTCTGAGCTGGACTGTATTGAACTTAGATGAATGAAGTAGTTTCATAAACCATTGAGAGCAGTGGTACTAGAAAGTAAGGAACCAGGTGGGAACAACTGTGCATTAAGCAGATACTGATAGTGGATTATTGAACGATGTTTGGATGGACTTACTTAGTTTCATCTCCAGCTGAGAACATGGTACCCTGTTTCCCCTAAAATAAGACCCAACCTGGAAATAAGCCCTAGTATGATTTTTCAGGATGATCATAATATAAGTCCTACTCCAAAAATAAGCCCTAGTTAAGTGAACCCCCCCCCTCCACATTGTGCAGCAACAAGAAGGTGACATGACTGCATTTGAATAAATGTAGATGGTTGTACATGACAAAAATAAAACATCCCCTGAAAATAAGCCCTAATGTGTTTTTGGAGCAAAAATTAATATAAGACCCTGTCTTATTTTGGGGGAAACCAGGGTATCAGATCATATACTGTACTATTTGAACTTGATCAGGGATTATATATTTGTATGCCTAATCAAAGTCACATTCCAAAACACCAGGGTTCGATAGACAAGCTCTGTCTGTGTGTGTGAGAGAGAGGGGGGGCACCCACAAAATTCATCTTATTGTTTGGATTCATATCTGTGGAAATTAGCTTTAGGGCCCCTGGTAAAACTTTCTGAAATGCATGGTAAATGAGGAACTTCTTGATCTATTCATTTTCTCCTCCAGGTGACAGTCTCTGGAAAGACAATGGGCTCAGCCTTCAGGACCACACACAAAGGCACTCTATGGAAAGCCTCAAGAGAAGTGGACAGGTTTGTCATTGCTGGGCAAGGAAAATGGTGGGATTCAGTTTTCCAGGATACAGTGGTGCCTCACTAGACGATGATAATCTGTTCCACTGAAATTGATGTTTAGCGAAATCATTGTCTAGCGAAAAGCATTTCCTCATTGGAATGCATTGAGACCTGTTTTATGTGTTCCAATGGGGAAGAATCGTTGTTGTCTAACGAAGATTGGCCATAGGAAAGCCGCTTTGCGAACCGCCTATCAGCTGTTTAAATCGCTGTCTTGCAAAGCTTAGGTCCCAAAAACACCTGTTTTGCGAGTGCGGAGGGAGCTGTCAAAATCATTGCCTAGCGAAAATCGGTTTGTGAAGCAGGGACCAAATATTGTCCAGCAAAATTCCCTCATAGGAATCACTGTTTTGTGAATTGCTATAGCAATCACAAAAAGTCAGTGTCTAGCAAAACAAAAAACAAAAAAAAACTGTCATGCAGGGTAACTGTCTAGCGAGGCACCACTGTACTTGTTTCTGTCTCCAAGTTCAGTACATTCCTTGTTCATTGTTCTGACCATTGATTTAAAACAGAATGTCTCTACCTCCTGTCATAGGTTTCCAAGTTAATAGCTGCAAGGGAAAGCCAGCTGTCATTGCCAAAACACCCGAGTCCAGGGAATAATGCTAATAAAGATAGTCACCTGAGCCATTCCTTGGCTACTGCACTGGTATCGGAAGATCCTGAAAGTGTATGTTTCATGAAAGATGGTAAGAGATGAACGGAACTATAATGTGGTAGTTTTTCTCCCTCTGAATGAGCTTATTCAGGAATTTGAACTGTGATCAAGCAAGTGGTCAATTGACCAGATGGGCGGGATATAAATACAATAAATAAAAATAAATAAATAAAATAATGTGATCAGTGTTACTCTCAGGTACTAAATATGCAATCTGTAGAAAAGTTACAAGGAGTTTTCTCTTGCAATTATGAGAGAGACAGCAGGAATTAGCAAGTGTGTGAACTGTCTTGCTTTTAGCAGAGTAAACAACCACACCTCTGACTGTGGTGAACTGTTCACCTTGCCATAAATAGAATGGGATAGAGATAAGCATTTCCTGTGCTTCAGCTGGGAACCTAAATGTTCATAGGTGTCTAAGCAAGAACTGAAGCCTCTTTGCTATGGCCATGTGACATCCAAGGGCAGCGAAAAGGGATAGATTCTCCATTGATTTAGAGGCATCTGTGTTGGTTATTTACTCCACAGTTTGCATCAGATCTGGTAAATATGAAATTGGATTAAATACTGGTGACTTCATAATACAAAGCTAAGTATGGGAAAGCCTGATGAGGACTTCTCTCTTTTTAGTGGGGAATCTGATTTTTTAGCTGAGCCAGCAGGATGGCTAAAATTTTGCTCCATGCTAGTGGAGTGGGATGTGGTGGCGCTGTAGGTTAAACTGCAGAAGCCTCTGTGCTGCACTGCAAGGTCAGAAGACCAGCAGTCATAAGATCGAATCCACGCAACAGAGTGAGCTCCTGTCACTTGTCCCAGCTCCTGCCAACCTAGCAGTTCGAGAGCATGTAAAATGCGAGTAGATAAATAGGTAACACCTCGGTGGGAAGAAGGTAAAGGTGTTCCATATCTAGTCGCGCCGGCCACGTGACCATGGAAACTGTCTACAGACAAACACTGGCTCTACAGCTTGGAGATGTGGATGAGCACCATGCCCTAGAGTCAGACACGACTGGACTAAATGTCAAGGGGAACCTTTACCTTTACTAGCATCACTTTTCTCCACTTTCTGTCATGTGTGACTGCCTGATCCAATACAAAGGGGTGTTTTCAGGGTGAATACCTGTTGTCTCAAAACAAACTGAAAAGAATTAATGCTAAGTCACTTTAAAAAATTTTTTTTTAAAGAAAGAGGGCAAAATGGCCAATTAGCAAGATCAAAGGTACAGGTGATTTGAGTGGAAAGTAAAACTTTCAGTTTTCTAGATACGTATAATGATTTTACCCATTCTGTAGGTAAAAGCAGGGACCTGCTTTGAAAACTGAATTAGAGTGGATCTAACCATTTTCCCCCAATGTCCAGCTGCATCCTTAGTTTCTGTATCCACAGATCATCACTGATATAATTAAATAAAAGCAGGTTGCCTTCCTCTCCATTACCTTCAGATCTTTATAATGAGGTTTTGGATGGATCATGCCTCCATTTGACAGTCTTTGGTTCACATTAAGCCCTTCTGAAACACATTATTGACTGAATTTTAGTGTATGCATTAGAAAAGCTTTACACATATGCTGCACCACCAGAAGTACAAACAGTTTTAGTTTATCATGGTTTATGTCCTCTGGCAAAATAAATTTTGACAGAGGACATAATGGTCTAACTGTGGTTTCTGAAGCTACTACGTTAGACCATATCTGGTGTTGTTAACCAAAACTTTAGGTCTTAGATTACAGGGCAAATGGTGATTGAATAAAATTAAATGCAAGAACATCTGGAGTTGTTTTGCTGGTGGTGTCAGTGGAGAAGGCAGAAGCACATGGACCTAAGGCAACTGCAGCTTAATCCTGCTTTCACACCATGTTAATAATGCGGGGTATGAATACGTCACTTATATTTTATGAAAATGAACTATTTTGAAAACTGACTTGAAGGTAAAAGGGGATGATGTAGAACTGCAGCTTGTTCAGTCGGGGGGGAGCACATGCAGCTGCTCTTCAAGGGGCAGATTGAAT